AATTTTTGCGACTACACCCATCCCAAGTTTGGCTTCCGATTATTACTCCCAGATCGCAACCTTCTGGATCACTATGTATGTGCGTTAGACGCTATTGAGAGGCACACCAATAGCCGTGATGGTATTACAAAAGCCAGCACTTAAGGGAACAGAGCAAAATGAGTTTTCGAGGCCCTTCTCAAAGAAGTGGTAGACGGGTTGTTGTTAACACTGTCGAAGTTTCGTGGTGTGAGACGGAGTGGGATTGAGGCTCTTATGGACGCTGTTAGTGGTGGGTATTTGGGACTACACCCATCCCAAGTTTGGCTTCCGATTATTACTCCCAGATCGCAACCTTCTGGATCACTATGTATGTGCGTTAGACGCTATTGAGAGGCACACCAATAGCCGTGATGGTATTACAAAAGCCAGCACTTAAGGGAACAGAGCAAAATGAGTTTTCGAGGCCCTTCTCAAAGAAGTGGTAGACGGGTTGTTGTTAACACTGTCGAAGTTTCGTGGTGTGAGACGGAGTGGGATTGAGGCTCTTATGGACGCTGTTAGTGGTGGTTATTTGGAGCAAAACTCTAGGCCAACAATACAATCTCCTTGTTCATTGAGTTTATTTTAAATTTACTGAATTTGGTAGTTAGAATCCACTTTTCTTCTAATGAAACTGCAATGCTGCAAGTTGGCTTGAAAAAGGTAACACGTAGTCGAACTAGATTGAGTTAACCAAACGGATTTAATATCCAATGTGTTTATAGTAGGAAATAGCATTCAGTTTAGGAAATTGATTGTCTTTTTTTAAGTCATCGGAAGCTGTGTTTCTATTCACTGTTTCATTTTCTTCTGAAGTGTATTTGCAAATGGTCTATCTTTTTGTCGATGAAAACCACCTTTTGCGATTCTGTATTTCTTGCTAGTGTGCTATTATATTGTATGAATTTTGGCATTTGTGATTTCAGAAAACCGACAACTGTTTTTCATTGCCTCTAAAGTTCATTCTTTGTGAACGCGTTTCGACTTGCGTTTTGATTTCTTAGGTGAATGAGCTCTCGGAACGTTTGAGTGAAACTACAGAAGAACTTTCGTTGGCCAATGCTCGTGTAGCAGATCGCGAAAATGTGCTAGCTACTGCAACATCGGAGCGTACTGCTCTCAGTCGTGCCATGGAGCAAAATGCCGCCCTCAAAGACCAACTCACTCACCTACAAAATGCTCTGGCCATTTCAGTAACATTCATTTTGATTATTGTTACTGAAATCATTTCAGTAGAGTAGTATCTCTATTTTTGATGTTTTAGAAACAGGCTAATGAGGAAGCCGACGCTGAACTTGCTGAATTACGTTCAAAGACAAATGAAGAGAAACAGATAGTGGCTCATGTTTCTGACTCTAATCAGCAAGCAGCTCCATCTTTCGTTTTGTGTGATGACGAAAAAAAGAGGTTGGAGTCAGCTTTGGAAATTGAAAGAAAAATTGCCAGTGATGCCCATTTGAAGGTAAATGAAACACAAATTGAGTCTTTTTACCACAATGATGATAAACGCTAAGTTTAAATTGTAATACTTTTTTTCAAATTCAGATTGCTCTACTTGAAACCGAAATTGCCGATTTACGGCTAAAATCTGTAAGTTAATTTTATAAATTGAATCCGAATAGGTTTTGCTAAATGAATTGAGTGAAATTGCCTTATTTAGTGTTTGAAATTTTTATTAAAGCTGAATGGCTCATCAAGCTATTCAGTGTCTAATTACCTCAAATATGATCTGCTTTTTGCGTATTTAGAAAGTGATGTAAGCCCTTCAATAAAGAAATGAGAAAAATATGACGATGAGTCTGATTTTCAATTCCTATTTAGCCCTTTATACTTTCGGATACTTGAGAAGGTGTCCTCTTTTGTGACTTACTTCCCATTTTGATCTGGGACAGGGGCACTTGATTAGTCTCTAGATACATTTCGTAAACCTTAATTGTTGAAATATCACGTTAAAACGAGATAAACGGGGTGTACTTTAGAAATGTGTTGAAGTAAATGGTCTTTTAGAATACTCTTCATTCTGGTTCTATAACAAAAAGTAGAAG